TGTCCATGTTGCAACAGGCTGTTTGCAAGATCAGCAGAAGTGGAGGTTAGCAGACTTCTGTGGTTGAGACATGATCTCACCCAGATGGTTTCCAGGGACTGAAAAAGGGGAACTTAAATCTGGACTTTTCACCCACACAGGATGGTAGGGAAAATTCCCTCAGACTCAGCAGTTGTATTATTAAATATAAGTCCCAAATAATTGGTTCAGGCTGAATTGAGCAATTAGTACACAGGTTGTGATAGTTAGGCAACAAATTGACATATATGATAATAAGTTAAGAGCAATGATACATTAACCAATAGGAAAAGAACACTTCAGCATTAGAAACATCCCCCTATTGAATATGCATAAAACATGTTATTGTCAGTGTCACACAGTATAAAAGTGGGACCCCAGCCCAGGGGCGATAGGGAGGAGAAGATGTAGTCCTTGGAATGGCCAGAGTGATGGCTCCTGGTGATGGGTAAGATAATGAGAAGGATGATCGGCTAACACCTAAGATTGTCCTAGAAGGAATGATGTACTTATATGGTAAGGAAATATGGATGGACATTCCGTCTTCTGAAATTGGGGTGTTTGTGACTGTGCTAACCATATTAAATAACTGTAAATATTGTAAATATACAAGAGTTTCTATATTGGGAGTGTTGCAACCGTGCACATCAGGTTTCCCAATTGTATAACTGACTACTGGTCCTGATCCTGGGAGAAAGAACCTGTCAACCCTAAAGGTGGGTAATTAGAATTTAAACATAATTTTAGATCAGGCTACTTAGGAATGTGTCCTTAATTTGCACATCTGAGTAATATGAATGAATGCCTAAACTGAGCAAGTGTATGTACAAATGGACAGTTCTAATCATTTGCACATTTACTCCATCTGCATGCCTAACTTGTAAAATCCATACTCCAAATGTGCCTTGCAAAGAAATTCATGAAAGGATATGTCACTGAACAGGAAACCTACACCCATATGCAGGATGACCGTCCATCCTGTTTTTAACAAGGCAATCCCACATTTATGCCCTCTTGTAGTTGTCCCAATTTTTTTTTTTAAATGGGCAAATTTTCAGCTCCAGCACTGAGCCTCAGCAGCCTCTTGAATGTGGCTGACAGGTGAATGTGGCTAGAGCAAGGCAGCAATTATTCCCTTCTCTGGGACGAGTGCTAGAGAATTTTGTTGAATTTGATGGACACAAGGCTTATTTTTTCTCCCTAGACAAATGCTCAACACTGTCCAGAGAAGTCTTCAGTGACCCTTACATAAAACAGGGACTTGCTTTCGCAAGCAAGCCAACAGCCACCTTTCCGAAGATGGTAGAGGCAAGTGAGAAAAAAGACTCCTTGGTGACAGAAGTTGCACTGTATATTCCTACCCTTCAAAATAATTTAGTCCCCCACCTCCTAGCCAGTGCTGCAGGGCTGAAGCATCACAGAAAAACCTCCCATGGCAGGGGGCTCAGGACAAAGGGCTGTGATGTGGGGGTACTGGGGCTGCCCAGGGAGTTAAGGGTGGTGCTGTTCCAACTGCAGCTCCTCTGGGAGGGTGATGGGGGCAGTAGCTCATCCCAGGGGGCCAGGGCTGCAGTGCCCAGCCCCTTACCCCCCAGCCCCCATTTGATGGCTCCTGGCAGGGCAGTTGTCTGGCTCCCTCAGCCAGTTAGTCTGCCTGAACCTCAGTGGCTCCTTGGGGAGGGAAGGGTCAGGGCTGAGCTGCTTCTTCCCCCGACCCCCATCTTCTACCCAATCTCCTCAAGGACTCAGGTTAATATCAGCCTTTCCAACCCTTCTTAACGACTGGGGCCCTCCATGGACCAGAGTCCTCAGTGTTTGCTGGATCACAACAAAAAGCCTTGAGCCTGTTGAAAAGCAGATCATTTACAAAAAAAATCCTCCTGTCTGTTGGTCACTGGAGGATCCAGTTTGAACTACTTTATGCTAAATTCTCCAGAGGTGGCTTCAAAAGGCTGATAACGGGAGGAATTGCATTAACATATCTTCTCCTCTTAGAGAAGTTATATACAATCTTGGCAATAATAAACAATTAAATTTTTAATACAATAGACCCCGAAGGCATGAAACTTATCTCAATAAGATCTAATTAAATTCAGTAAGGTTTGGCCAAAATATTGCAGACTATTGTTGTATCAGTCATAGGATCCCTCATGGCTTTGCAGATGAGGTACCAACTTTCAGACTAATGGCATACATCTTTTGCTTCTGTCCTCCAATTATGTGTTCCTACCCATTACGCTAGACACACCACAAACAAAAGATGCATATCTCCTCTGGCAATGGGTCTATCACCTGAAGACAAAGGATAGGTAAACCATACAAGTGAAGTTATCCGGGTGAAGATTGTATTATGAAGATATAACTAAAGCTCTGGATAATACACTGATATTAGATATATGGATTAAATTAAATTCCATAAGGGAACTAACATGGTCACAGTAATTAAAAAGGAAGATGTTTATTGGCTGCATTTTGTGAAGACCGGAAGGAAATGATATGGCAGGGATAGGAGGTGACTGCAGTATTCAGTTGGGTGATGATGAAAGCCTGAAAGCACAATAGCTTTAGAAGGCAAAAGAAAGGGAATAATATCTTGGAAACAATGTGGAGGAATAAAAAGCAGACTTGGCAATGGCCTGGATGTGGGGCAATGGAGATATTCATGGGTCACATTTGGACATGATTTAAAATGCAGCTATTTACTAGATTATGCATTTCAGTGGCAAAGTACCATGAGGATTATAATCTGTTCAGACCTTCTTTAAATACCTACTAAAATCTCTGACACATCCTCGCTATCCTGATTAATACAGATGAATGCAGAAAGCATATAAGGAGTGGAAGATGGGAGGGATCAGTAAAGAAATCTTCCTTATTGAGGTTAGAGGATGTAGGGACAAAGTGAGAGAGGCTAAAAGTCAGGTAGAGTTGGACCTTGCAAAGGGAATTAAAACCAATAGTAAAAGGTTTTATAGCCATATAAATAGGGAAAAAAAACAAAAAAAGAAGAAGTAGGACTGCTAATTACTAAGGATGGAGTGGAGGTTAAGGATAATCTAGGAATGGCCCAATAGTTAAATAAATACTTTGCTTCAGTCTTTAATGAGGATAATTAAGAGCTTAGGGATAATGGTAACATAACAAATAGGAATAAGGATATGGAGGTAGATATTACCATATCCAAGGTAAAAGCCAAACTTGAACAGCTTAATGGAAGCAAATCGGGGGGGCCCAGATAATTTTCATCCAAGAATATTAAAGGAACTGGCACATGAAATTGCAAGCCCATTAGCAAAATTTTTTAATAAATCTCTAAACTCAGGGGTTGTACCATTTGATTGGAGAATTGCTAATATAGTTCCTATTTTTAAGGGGAAAAAAAGTGACCCGGGTAACTATAGGCCTGTTAGTTTGACATCTGTAATATGCAAGATCTTGGAAACAATTTTGAAGGAGGAAGTAGTTAGAGACATTGCGGTTAATGGCAACTGGTACAAATTACAACATGGTTCTACAAAAGGTAGATCGTGCCAAACCAACCTGATCTCCTTCTTTGAGAAAGTAACAGATTTTTTAGATAAAGGAAATGCAGTGGATCTAATCTACCTCGACTTTAGTAAGGCATTTGATACAGTACCATATGGGGAATTATTGTTTAAATTGGACAAGATAGGGATTAATAGGAAAGTTGAGATGTGGATAAGCAACTGGTTAAAGGTGAGACTATAGCGAGTCATACTGAAAGGTGAACTGTCAGGTTGGAAGGTTACTAGCAGAATTCCTCAGGAATTCCTCAGGGATCAGTATTGGGCCAATTTTATTTAATCTTTTTATTGCTGACCTTGGCACCAAAAGTGGAAGTGTCCTGATAAAATTTGCGGATGATACAAAGTTGGGAGCTATTGCCAATTCAGAAAAGGATCGGGATATCATACAGGAAGATCTGGATGACCTTGTAAATTGGAGTGATAGCAATAGGATGAAATTTAATAGTGAGAAGTGTAAGGTTATGCATTTAGGGATTAATAAGAATTTTAGTTATAAGCTGGGGACACATCAGTTGGAAGTAATGGAGGAGGAGAAGGACCTCGGAGTCCTGTTTGATTATAGAATGACTATAGGGATAAGGAGGTGTTAGTGCCATTATACAAGGCATTGGTGAGACCACGTTTGGAATACTGTGTGCAGTTCTGTTCTCTCATATTTAAGAAGGATGAATTCAAACTGGAACAGGTACAAAGAAGGGCCACTAGGATGATCCAAGGAATGGAAAACCTGTCTTATGAAAGGGGACTCAAGCAACTTGGCTTGTTTACCTTAACCAAAAGAAGGCTGAGGGGGTACATGATTGCACTCTTTAAATATATTAGAGGGATAAATACCAGGGACGGAGAGGAATTATTTAAGCTTAATACCAATGTGGACACAAGAACAAATGGATATAAGCTGGCTAATAGGAAGTTTAGACTTGAGATTAGATGAAGGTTTCTAACCATTAGAGGAATGAGGTTCTGGAACGGCCTTCCAAGGGAAGTAGTGGGGGCAAAAGATCTATCTGGCTTCAAGATTAAACTAGATGGGTTTATGAAGGGGATGGTTTGATAAGATAACATGATCTTGGTAACTAATTGACCAGTATCAGTGGTAAATAGGTCAATGGAGGGATGATAGGAGTTACTATAGAGAACTTTCTGGGTGTCTGGCTGGTGAGTCTTGCCCACATGCTCAGGGTTTACCTGATCGCCATATTTGGGGTCGGGAAGAAATTTTCCTCCAGGGTAGATTAGCAGAGGCCCTGGAGGTTTTTTGCCTTCCTCTGTAGCATGGGGTACAGATCACAGCTGGAGGATTCTCTGCATCTTGGGGTCTTCAAACTATTTGAAGGCTTCAATATCTGAGATATAGATGAGAGGATTATTCTAGGAGGGGGTGGGTGAGATTCTGTGGCCTGCATTGTGCAGGGGATCAGACTAGATGATCATAATGGTTGCTTCTGACCTTAAAGTCTATGAGTCTAGAATACATTTGCACACACGTGGAAGAGAGTCTCGGCTACATACTCCTTCACGGCAATCTGTTCTCCTTACCTCATAGAGCGTAATGATACCATTAGTCTCATTTGGAGGCTTCCACTGAACATAGATCTTTTCTTCAAAGGGTCCTCCTTGGATAGATTCTAAGGGAACAGGTCCAGGAACTATAATGGAAAAGAGTGGAAAGTCAGTAACTCATCACAACAGTGACATGTGTATCCCCAGAAGCTGGAGATCTCCCAGCAATGACTCTCAAGCTGAGAAAGCATACAAACTGGACCAAAAGGGAATGTTTTAAAAGACATTAGTACCCATTGCTATTGGCTCATAGAATCATAAGGCTGGAGGAGACCTCAGGAGATCGTCAAATCCAACCCCCTGCTAAAAGCAGGGCTAATCCCAACTAAATCATCCCAGCCAGGATTTTGTCAAGCTGGGACTTTAAAACATCTTGGAATGGAAACTCTACCACTTCCCTAGGTAACCCATCCCAGTGCTTTACCACCCTTCTCATAAAATAGTTTTTCCTAATAACCAACCTAGACTTCATCCTTGACATTGGGGTCCAAAAGTAAACACACTGAATATTAACAACAAACATTCATGTAAAGAGGCTTCTATCTTTGTTTTATCTGGAGTATGGCGTCCAATTCTGCCCCCTCCCCATTACAGAAAGAACATGGATGCACTGGAGAAGGTCCAGTAGAGGGCACCAAAAATTATTATGGGGCTAGAGCACATGATTTATGAGAATACAGGACTATGTAGCACTTTAAAGACTAACAAGATGGTTTATTAGATGATGAGCTTTCGTGGGCCAGACCCACTTCCTCAGATCAAATAGTGGAAGAAAATAGTCACAACCATATATACCAAAGGATACAATTTAAAAAAAAGAACACATATGAAAAGGACAAATCAAATTTCAGAACAGAAGGGAGATGCGGGGGAGGAGGGGGGGAGAGGGAAAGGTAAATGTCTGTGAGCTAATGATATTACAGGTGATAATTGGGGAGGCTATCTTTGTAATGGGTAAGATAGTCAGAGTCTTTGTTGAGCCCCCCGCGTAGAGTGTCGAATTTTAGCATGAATGACAGTTCAGAGGATTCCCTTTCAAGTGCAGATTTAAAAGGCTTCTGAAGCAGGATGCAGGTAATTAATAGGAAGCCTTTGTCGACCACATTGCGTCTAGACTGCCGTGCTGTGCCGGATCAGCTGATTGTCAGCACAGCGCGGTGGCCATTTTTATTTTAATGAAGCTGGGATTATTTAAATCCCCACTTCTTTGACTATGCTGAATAAACTAGTCTAGATGTAGCCTATGATTCTATGATTCTATTGCAGCGTTTCAGTGATCTACTGTACCTAGTAGGGATGTAAGCGAAAGCTTATCAGATAGTTGACTAGTCCCTTGACTAGTCACTTCCTTCCCTATCAGAGGCAGCAAGTGGGGCAGCTTAAGAGCTGGTTCCCCCCAGCACCATCTCCATAGAATCATAGAACCATAGAGCTGGGAGAGACCTCAGAAGGTCATCAAGTCCAGCCTCCTGCTCTAGGCAGGACCAATCCCAACTAAATCAACCCGGCCAGGGCTTTGTCAAGCTGAGACTTAAACAACTCTAGGGATGGAGACTCCACTACTTCCCTAGGTAACACATTCCAGTGCTTCACTACCCTCCTAGCGAAATAGTTTTTCCTAATATCCAACCTGGACCTCTCCTACCACAACTTGAGACCATTGCTCCTTGTTCTGCCATCTGTCACTACTGAGAACAGCATTTCTTCATCCTCTTTGGAACCTCCCTTCAGGAAGTTGAAGGCTGCTATCAAATTCTTCGCTTCTGCAGACTAAACAGACCCAAGTCCCTCAGCCTCTCCTCATAAGTCATATGCTCCAGCCCCCGAATCATTTTGGTTGCCCTCCGCTGAACCCTCTCCAATGCGTCCACATCCTGTCTATAGTGGGGGGCCCAGAACTGGACACAATACTTCAGCTGTGGCCTCACCAGAGCCGAATAAAGGGGAATAATGACATCTCTGGATCTGCTGGCAATGCTCCTCTTAATGCAACCGAATATGCCATTAGCCTTCTTGGCTACAAGGGCACACTGTTGACTCACTGCAGCCTGGCTCAGTAGGGGCGGACAGCTGTTAGAGCAGGAACGAGGGCCCAAGCCCCAGAATCCCCGACCCAACAGCCAGGGATGGCGTTGCCAGGCCCGCCGGACCCGCCACGGCCAGGCCCAAGCTGAGCGCCCCCCCCCCCGCCCCCCGCCCCGGCCAGGGCCCAGCTGAGCCCGACCCAAACGTTAAAGCTCCAGCCAACCACCCAGGACCCAGGCGCTGGACCTACCACTGCAACCCCAGACGCTGACCTGGGAGGTGCCACTACAGCCACCCGACGCTCACCAACAGGTGGCACCGTGGCAGACCAGGGGAGTGACCCAGGGCAGGGAGCTGGAAAGGCCCCAGAGGGAAGGCCAGGGCCCAGCTGAGCCCGACCCAAACGTTAAAGCTCCAGCCAACCACCCAGGACCCAGGCGCTGGACCTACCACTGCAACCCCAGACGCTGACCTGGGAGGTGCCACTACAGCCACCCGACGCTCACCAACAGGTGGCACCGTGGCAGACCAGGGGAGTGACCCAGGGCAGGGAGCTGGAAAGGCCCCAGAGGGAAAGAACCCCCGCTGAGCCAGTGGTGGGAGCCTGCTGCCACTGATAGGGCCCTGGGTCGGGGTTGTTTTTAGTTTTTGACTGGTGTGTGCACTTCATAACTTGCATTTCTTTTATGCTTAAATGTAATTCTTTGAGAAGTGCATTCAAAAATGCCTAACCTGATGGTGGTTGTGATGGGCATATTCCTGCAACCCCTGGGATGGTCAGTACAGGGGCGTCTCCCTGTACTGTCTTTGCCTATAGACACTGTTCCTGCAGCTGGTTGTGGTGACAGTGATGCTCCTGGGTGGGTGGGGCTTGAACCTACAACCTTGGGGTCTGCCTTGACTATGCTTGCTGGTTGTCCTACTGCTCCTAGGATTGGTGGGACTTGAACCCCCCACCCTGCATTCCCTTTGGGAATGCCCTAGGCCCATGCCACTCTAGAACCCATTCCGCTGCTGTTTCTGTCAGAGCGTCCCTTATCTTTCCTTCCTAACGCGGGAGCCAGGTGCATCCCTGGGGTAGATGGTGTTGGCTGTCTGGCTGATCTCGGAATGGGGGGTTGGAAGGACTCAAGCCCCCAACCCTGCACTCCCCAGACAAATGCTTTGTCCCCTAGGACACTCCAGATCCCATCCTGCCACTCTTCCTTCCTTCAGAGAGTCCCCTCCCACACTCCACACCCCTTGGCCCAAGACCAGAGCCTGCACCCCAACTCCCTACTCCAGCCTGGTGAAAGGGAATGAGATTTGGGGAGGAAGGGAAATGGAGTGAGCAGGGTGAGGGGGAGGCCTTGGCAAAGGGGTGGAGCAGGAGCAGGGCCTCAAAGAACGGGTGGAAAGGAAGCTGGGCAAGAGTATTTGGGTTTGAGGTAGATCTTCCATTGCATGTAAATTGAAAAAGCAATCTTGTGGTTAAAAAGGTTGGAGACCACGGCTTTAATTATTTCTTTTCCAAACTGAAAAGGCCCAGTCTTAGGCCGTGTCCAGACTCAGGGGTTTTTTCGAAAAAAGTAGCCTTTTTTCGAAAAAACTTCCCCTGCGTCCAGACTCAAGCCGCGTTCTTTCGAAATTATTTCGAAAGAACGCGGCTTTTCTTTCGATGGCGGTAAACCTCATTTCACGAGGAAGAACGCCTTCTTTCGAAAGTTCCTCTTTCGAAAGAAGGCGTTCTTCAATGTAAAGAGGCCGTCTTCGAAAGAGAGCATCCAGACTCGCTGGGTGCTCTCTTTCGAAAAAGCAGATTTCTCTTTCGAAAGAAGCCTGCAGTCTAGACATAGCCTTAGTAATCTAGCCTCATAGGGATGCTGTTCCTTGCCCCCTCATTATTTCTGGTGCCCTTCTTCTACGTTTTCCAAATCCAATATTTCTTTTTTTAGATGGGGTGACCAGATCTGCATACAGTATTCAAGATGTGTGCATACGATGATTTTATATAGAAGCAATGTGGTATGTTGTCTTATTATCTAGTCCTTTCCTAACGATTCCCAATATTCTGTTAGCTTTTAGTTTTTAACTGACACTGCATATTGAGCAGATGTTTTCAGGAATCTGTCCACAAGGATTCAACAATCTCTTTCTTGAGTGGTAACAGCTATTTTAGACCCTGTCATTTTTGTATCCATAGTTAGGATTATATTTTCCCATACATATTACTTTGGACTGAATTCAATCTGCCTTTGTGATGCCAAATCACACAGTGTTGTGAGATCTCTTTGTAACTCTTTGCAGTAGTCTTTGGATTAGTCATTGTTTATCCCTTTTTCAAGAACATTTATGAGAAGTTTAACATCAGTGATCCAAATGCAGATGTCTGCAACACAACAGTCCTACACTTTCTATTCCATTTTTTAAGTGGCGTACCCAGCAATATTTTCATGATGATCTAATGATCCTTCAATTACCTGAATAACTTGATGTGTGTTATTCTTGCTTCTTTTTATAACAGACTCTGGGCTCCAAAGGCAAAGCTCCAAGCAGCTCAAACTGTTGCATTTAAGAACTGTCTCTGGAGTCAGGGCATGCATTTTTAAGCAGAACTCAAGCATGAAATCCAGAGGTTTAAACTACGGGTGGGGGTAATGCCCCCCTAGGCTCCCATAAATGGTGCCCCTGCAGACAGGGCTGGGACTTAAAAACCTCTAGCAATGGAAATTCCACAACCTCCCTAGGTAAGCCATTCCAGTGTTTTTTCCTGATATCCAACGTAGGCACACCCCCCCCACACACACTTCAACTTGAGGCCATTGCTCCTTGTTCTGTCATTTGTCACCACTGAGAACAGCCTCTCTCCATCCTTTTTAGAACCCCTCCCCCTTTCAGGTAGTTGAAGGCTGCTATCAAACCCCACTCGCTCTTCTCTTCTGTAGACTAAACAGATCCAAATCCTTCAATCTCTCCGTGTGAATCAAATGCTCCAGCTCCCTTACCATTTTTGTAGCTCTTCACTGGACTTTCTCCAATGTGTCCACATCCTTACTGGAATGGGGCCCCCAGAACTGGATGCAATATTCCAGATGTGGCCTCTCCAGTGCTGAATAAAGGGCAATAATCTCGTCCCTAGATCTGCTGACAGTGCTCCTCCTAATGCAACCTTAGTATGCAGTTAGCCTTCCTGGCTATGAGGGCACACTGTTGACTCATATCCAGCTTCTCATCCACTGTAATCCACAGGTTTTTTTCTGCCAAACTGCTGCTTAGCCAGTCAGTCGGCAGCCTGTAACAGTGCTTGGGGTTCTTCCATCCAAAGTGCAGGACTCTGCACTTGTCCTTGTTGAACGTCGTCAGATTTATTTTGGCCCAATCCTCCAATTTGTCTAGGTCACTTCGGACCCTATCCCTGTCCTCCAGTGTATCTACCTCTCCCCCTAGCTTAGTGTCATCTGCAAACTTGCTGAGGGTGCAATCCATTCCCTCATCCAAATCATTAATAAAGCTGTCAAACAAAACTGGACCCATTACTAACCCTTGGGATATTCCACTTGATACCAACTGCTAGCCAGACATGGAGCTGTTGATCACTACCCATTGAACCTGACAATCTAGCCAGCTTTCTATCCGTGGTGGTCCCTTCTAGCTTTTTTTATCATGATGGTCACTTCTAGCCTGAACTCCTATGAATCCATCTTCACAAGTGTATCAAAAATAAGCTGTTTGTTTTCACTCTCAATGCCCTTCATAACCTATCTTCACTTATTCAGTACAGTATTGAAAAGTTGACTTCTGCCTCTGATTGGCCCTTGAGGTCCGTTTCTGTTGTTCATATTTAATGTTCAAAACAAGCATCTTTGTGTTTTCTCCAGTGCCCCACCTCATGCTTGGAAGAAAGCTCCCTGTAAACATATACAACATTACATCATCCTCTTTTAAATTCTCCTTTGCTTTGAGCCCTACACAAAAACCTTGACAATGATTGGTTGCTGCTGTGCCAAGACTACTGCTTTTCATGCTTACCAGTACTGTCTTATAAGTTCCTTGTATTGCCCTGTCTGTTATGACCATCTGTTGTCTTGCCTTATACTTAGATAGCTCTTGCCCTGAAGGGTTGCTAATCTTTTCCATTCTCTGTTTGTACAAAGCATCACACATCAGGGTCATGAGACTCCTAAATGACACGATAATACAAATATTAATAAATAATACTTCCTCGAGGAATTCCTCTTGGAATATGACTAGCAGAATCTGGCCTCATTAATTCAGCTTCATAGGTGTGCATGATATGTTAGGATCCATGTGACTTAGAATATCCAGAATTATCAAAAAGTTGCAATCTGGAAATTACAAATTATGTACCAAAATGTGCACTGATTGACAACAGACCCCATGTGGAAAAGACAGTATGCAATCATCTAATTAAAGGCTGCATTACAATGCATATGCACAAAGTGGTAGAATTAAGGTTGGACAAGCAACTGTAAATCTCAAATTTCCCAACTTGAGTACTTGACTCTACAAACTAAACAAAATTCTTTATCACATTTGGTATGTAATTTCCTAGGTTTTTTTTAAGGGAAGAAAGTAAAATTCAATTATATTAACTTGTAAGAAGCACAAGTACCAGCAGGGCTTCAAAACTGAGTTTTTCGCAGTGCAGCACACATTTCTACTATTTGAGCTACTAAATTAACCAGCTTCCCCTACAACAAATAAAATAAGCCATAGGGCTGGAGAAACTTGTCTTTGCCCATAGAGAGTTTAGCATGCAACATTTTCCCAGAATTGGACCCTTCGTTGCTGCCCGCCAGACATAAATATTACTTGAGGTTTCACAGTGCTTTACAGACATTATCCATACCACAAAAAGTAGATAAATATAAATAATCACTATTTTACTTGCCACCTAAGGAAATCTGATATGGAGTTGGTGAGGTACCACCTCCAAGCCCACAAAGCCATTTTTACCAAGTCATTTTCTGCCCAAAAAGTTACTTGGAATTTTAAACCATGGAAAAAACCCTAAACATTTTCTTACCATCCTCTTCAGTCTGTACCACCAGCTCCTCACTCTCCATTTTGCCCTCTGGATTAGAAAGTGCTAGCCTCAACTGGATGGTCATGAAGGGCCGCAGGCCTCGTAAGGTATAGTGTGATGATGTCTGGATGACTTCCTCTGCCTCATACTTCTGCTGGTTAAAGACATACTGGTACTGGACTGTTAGGTTGTAGCTGTGGCAACGGGTCACTGCATAACCAAATGGCTCCCATTGCAAGGTCAGCTGCCGGGAACGAATGTCAACAACTTCCACGTTCTGTGGTCCATGGACTGGATCTGTGCAACAAGTGAAAGAAATGAAAGGGCTTTACTGGAGGCAGGAATCTGTGTATCTAGAGTGCATTTTCTATGGTTCTTCTGCCCCAACTTGCTCTAGTAGCTGAGTGCCTGGCTATCTTTACATCATTGTCCTCACAAAATCCCTGTGAGGTAGAAAAATGCTACTATCAGCAATCTGCCAATGGGGAACTGAGATACAGAGAGATTCAGTGACATACTCAAGAGATCTGAGGTGGGGCACTAACTGAACCCAGTGCTCCCCCCTCCTAATCATGTTTTCTAATCACTGTACATCCTTCCTGCACAGGGAATGAGAACACAGAGGTGCAGTATGAAGGTTTATGAGAATGAGTTTGGGATCATCACCACACTTCACCAGTGGTACTGTTCTCTCTTTTTAACTGCACAGAGGCACTTAGACACTTGGTCTATGATCCTGTACCAACAGTTTTGAATGAGGGATTAGAGTATCCGCTCACCATACCATCATACATTCTTCATGGGACACATATTTATAGAACAGGTACTTCAGAAATACACCTTGACTGGATTAGACTACTTTTTGTATTCCTCCATCTGTGAAGCTAGGTACTTTAAGATCCTAACTTGCACACTTCTTGGAAATTTCACAGAGAAAGAGAAAAAAATTGAAAGTAATGAATTGGAATCTCATACTTTTTGGCAAATACATACATCTGCTGAGACTCTCAGAAGGAAGACGGTATGGATAGAGAGAGATCAGTTGTTGTGACCTGCACAGGATGTGCTATGTTTGTCTTCCTCCCAGAGGACAGAAGAGACTTCATCTGTACAAAATACAAGCTGGTATCCATATTGGAAAAGAAGGTTGAAGGATTAGAGGGCCAAGTATCTATCCTGAGTTCCATCAGAGAAAATAGAGACTTTCTGGATAAAAGGCAGCATTTGATACTGCAGGCACAACATACTGAAGAACCAAAAAGACCAGTGCAGAATGGGGAAAAAAATTGGCAACATGCAACCTCCAGGAGAAGAAAGACAACCCCAATCCAGATAGAGGTAAGTAACCACTTTCAGGCTCTCGGCAAAGGATTTTCAGTGGGGAATACTTTAGAAGAGACCTCTGAGGGAAGGGATCAGGAGACCCCACTGACCAGAAGACATGGGATGCATAATTCTAGGGACAGGGTCTTTAAAACCACCGTTCCCAAGAGACGGAGACAGGTGGTGGTGGTCAGGGAACTCCCTCCTAAGGAAGATGGAGTCATCTATCTGCCATCTAAACTGTGAAATTCAGGGAGTGTTCTGCTTGCTCAGGATGTGACTGAGAGTCTTTCGAGACTGATCAAGTCCTCGGACCACTATTTCTTCCTACTTTTCTGTGTAGGAACCAAAGACATTGCCAAGAAGTAAAAAATAGCATCTTATGGAAAGCTATGATTAACCACCCGAGTTATCATAGGGCACCATTATTTTTCACATATATATATACATGAAAAATTTATATATAGACTAGTTGACACACTATCATAAAGAGGCAGCAGGGGGGAGAAAGGAGGTAGTTCAAAGTGGCAGCATGATATGGAGCCTGGGGCCAGAGCCTACCCAACTGGAAACCCCAGAATGCGATAACCCCGAGGCAGAACCCAGCACATTTGTGATAATACGGCCCCTAGTCCTACTTCTGAGGCCAGCAGAGGAGTAAATTCCTTCTTAAAATCAGAGTCTGTGAGAACTGGGTCACTGCAGAGAGCTGTCTTGAGATCATTAAAAGCTTCTTCTGCCATAGTGGTCCATTTTACAATGTTGGGATCGCGAGCGCTGGTCAAGTCGGTCAAAGGGTATGCCCTGGAAGCGAAGTGGGGAATGAATCTGTGGTAATATCCAATCAGTCCCAAGAATGCCCTGACCTGCTTCGTTTCGGTTGGTCAGGTCCACTTCTGTATTGCTTCCACTTTTAGCAGGGGTTTGGACTCAATGACTTCTTGAGTCTGTTCCAAGCCTATGATTATATGATCTGAACTGCTATGTATTCCCACTGTACAGCTAGGAATTTCCCTTTCCTACATTTCTAGCTCTAATGGATCTCAAGTTATCACAACTTAACCATGCCATGGATATAGAACTCTATATTTCTGTACCTCAGGCCAGTACAAGTTTGGAATAATTATAGGAAACTTTCCTCTGGCAGTTTTTTTCCTTTTAAAATTTTGGTTATTTGAAAGTATCCATGGATCTGGAACCTACATAGATGCTGCAACAGAGGTTAATTATTGCTTGAAGGGCAGGAGAAGTAGTGATATAAGTACCATTTATGAGATGGATATCACAGCTACAGATGTTCTATAAAGTCTCAATGAAGTTCATTATTCTTATTCTTTCAACAGACTCAGCTTGAGGTAAAGATGCATTTGGAAGAATAATTTTCACCTGGCATTCCCAATTTATGTTTACAGCATAGCTTTTGACCAATAAACCTGTACTTTAGAATAGAGAACGAGGGAGAGGATAGTTGTATTTTATCCAAGGAGTGTGGAATGATTCAGTGAATGATTGAGGTGCATCACACCCAAACTTTTACATGGTATTTCTTTGCTACTTGTTAATATTACAACATAATTAAAAATATTTTACCTTCTAATTTTGCCTTCTCTCAATTTCAAACCACAGAAAGACTACTGCTTTATTAAAACAAATAAAAACAGTCACAGGAAAGCAATAGATTTAGAAAGAAAGAGAAATAAAGAAGGGGAAATGTCATCCAGAATGTTGTTCTTCACTTCATAACAAAAACAAAGCATTTCCACCTCTGCTAATATATGAGCAGAGAACACTAATGGCTGGTGAGTTGTATCTCATTGCGAAATCTGTAACACTTAACAATGGGGGCAATAACTACTTTGGAAATTAACATTATATATATATTAAAACAGTGCACTTTAAACACAGTACTAAAACAAGGTGATTTAAAGCATGCAACTATGGTTAATATTTTAAATCTCTCATACACTCATTGCTGTTTTATTATCATTCTTGGAACTTTCATAGCACATTCCAAGAAATGAAAGTTCCAAGACTTGTAGCAGGGCTCTTTGCAAACATTGAAGCCTCAATTCCCACACTGTGAGGGAGACTTTATTCTCACTAAATAGAGAAATAAACTGAGGCACAAAAAGGCTTATGAGACTTGCCCAGGAACACACAAATTTCATCACAGAACTCTAGAACTGACACCTAATCTCCTGCTCCAGCTGTAAGGTAACATTTCCCTAGAAATACACATTTAATACTTTATATTTAATAACAGTTATTTCTGAAGTGAAAATGGTAAATGATGAACAGGATACAGCAGCACTACAGAGCGTGATAGTGGGGGAACTGAAAAAATCTTATCCTCCATTGAAACTATCATGGGAGATAAAGGCAGGCAAAACAATAACCTAAAAGCCACTACAGGCAGTCCCTGGGTTACGTACAAGATAGGGACTGTAGGTTTGTTCTTAAGTTGAATTTGTATGTAAGTCGGAACTGGCGTCCAGATTCAGCCGCTGTTGAAACTGACCAGCGGCTGACTACAGGAAGCCTGAGGCAGAGCTGCTCTGCCCTGGGCTTCCTGGAATC